ATCATTGTCGACGTTCTTTCATACGACGAACGATAATAACTCGATGAGTAAAGATTCTCTCGTAGAATATACGGACAACAATTCCGAATCAAATTCTGATTCGAATTCGACGAAAAGAGGAAACCGTGATGATAGGATAGATCGAAAAATAAAACGTAGCGAGAGTTATCGAATGGCTAACAGTCCTATAATGTTCATCAAAAAATTTTCCAGCGGTACCGAGAAATCCTCAAAGATATTCCGTACTCCTTCCGAAGAATTGCAAGAGGAATTGCTTAAGGAAAGGATAAATTATCCTGAAACGGTATCTAGTCCAGAACCACCGATTGAGCCAAACGTTAATTATGGAAACGGAAATTTAAAGATCACGATGCCAATCGTAATACCTAGTAGTCCAAGACCAAGAGCTTTGGATCTACAGCCTGTCAAAGTTCTCGAATATTCTGGCAACGACACTGAAATTTGGTAGAAACAAAAAAAAAAAAAAATCAATAAATCATTTCACATATCTTTTCCTATAATCAAGATAGATATATCATTTCAAGGATTAAACAGATATTATAGAATTTGTTCGAAATTATTTGATTCTTGGACACCGTATATCGTCTAATAAAGACTAATGGCTCAAGGACCAATTAGATATCGTAATTGGCGCGGAAAGTTGCATTCGAAGTCATGGGCTTTATCTCGGAATTGGCGTTATGCAAAGAAAGAGGAAGTGTCGGCCAGCGAGTGTCATTGTCTCGAGACATATAGGGGCATACGCTAAACGAACCGTTCGACGGTCAAGATAACAAGATCTAACGATTCTCTCTCTTTTTCTTTCTCTCTCTCTCTCTCTCTCTCTCTCTCTCTCTCTTTCTCTCTCTCTCTCTCTCTCTCTCTCTCTCTCTATTTCTATCTGTCTCTCTTTCTCTCTTTCTAATGCCTAGCGGCAAAGAGTGATATGGCAGAAACCATTGCGTTTGTTCTATCTAACACGTCCGAGCTTGGCCAGCTGCAAGCTGGACTCATATTTAATGTTTCAGAGAAAGATAAATGTCATTTTCTATCGGTATGTTCATTGTTCAGTTCATGGAATATTTTAGAGTTCAATAGTTTCATCGATAAACTGTTTAGAGACAAACATCCCCAACGAAGAATACTCGTTGTAAGATTAAAAGATAAGTTTTATCTAGTTTTCGAGTTTACTTTCGATTTATCTTCGTTTATATGTACTTAGAACGAACGTACTTTTTCTTCTGAATTTTCCGCGATTTTCTTACGATATAAGCTCACAAGTTAATCGTGAGATTTGCGATCAAGGACACGTTCAAGTAAATATCAAGAATCTTTTGGTATATATTGACTTTTTTTTTTCTTTGTCGCATCGTCGTTTACTTATCAACAGATAACTTGTTGATAGTAAATCATTTAAGCGCAGAATATTTGCGTAATTTGGAAAAAAGAAAATAAATAAAATAAATAAATAAATAAGAAGATTGCAATGGCAATTAACGTTTCGGAATACGTATCTTTTTCTTTTTTGTTTTTTTTTCTTTTATTTATTTTTTTTTCGTTTCCCTTTTCTTTTTACGCGTTCTTCTTGAGAAGATCATCAGTTCAATGGGTCGAATAGAAAATTTTCCGCTATGTCCTGATGGTATGCGAAGGAGGGTTAAATCTCTCGGGGTCTCGATAAACTGGAAAACTCCAGGGAGCCCCCAATGAAGAAGCTTCACTTTGTTAGCCCTTATCGGAGTCATTAGCCGCTGGCTCAATAGCCAACGGAGTTGCATCAGACACGCGATGTTTATCCCACTTGATAATACCAGAAGATTCTGATAAACAAAAAATCCCTCCCGCTCGTCGTAAATAGAAATACTTTCTTGGAGTGGCTGACGCGGCTTTCAGTTCGCTTTAAACCGATTAACCCTCATGATTCGTGCAACAGTGTTCTTTCAGGAGTGACCGTTTCTGATAGAACCAATACGTCGTCTAATATAGCAATATTCCATCGTAAATTTTATAACGAATTTTAATAATGAAACGAGCTAAAATACGATCGAATAATCTTAACGTTAATAGAATCTTGAAAGAATATTCGAGAATTTTTAACGATAAAGAAATAGGATCGATGATAATCGTTAAACGTTCGAATAGAATCGAATTGAATAAATCAATGTGACTCGTAACTCGAAAGTAATATTTTTATTGTTTCCCGTTAAAGAGGAAATTTAAATATTTCGCGGGCAATACAATGATAAGACGATATCAGTGGATGAACGAGAGGAGAAAACTTTGTCGCTAGACAACCAGCCGCCAGTCACGATAATCTAACTCATTTGCTCGCTCGTTCGTTCGTTCGTTCGTTCTCTGTTACCAAACGCGACCAGCTGCTACTTTTTAAACGACCGTTCGACCGACGATCAGTCTTTCACAAACGATTCAACATGCTGGCGAGACATTTATTATTCATTGCCACTAGACGACCACGTAAGTCATTTTCATCAACATTATTATCATCCTAATTATTGCGAAGACGTCATCATTTTTCGACTCGACATACGATTTATTTCTTTCGTCTTTCTAGTTTCTCACGTAGCTGTCTCCTTTGTTTCTCTTTCTGACAACAACAGCGCGGTATGACTAATCGACCACTTTTTCTCTGACCCTTCTTCTTTATGACGTCAGATCAGACGAAATCATTGGATATAGCGACTAAACAAAAAAAAAACAAAAAAAAAGGGAGAAAGAAAAAGAAAAAAAAAAGAAACAAAACAAAACAAACAAAACATATTCTCCTTATTCTTGTTCTTACATTTTTCTTATTATAAATTTCTATTCGGTAATTATATCTGTTGTTTAAATTAACGCGAAACGGTGTGGTAAAACGTCTTAATAATAACGGGATTATACGTCTTATAAATTCTATCGGATTGACGACATAGAATTTTTTAATACATAGTAAACCTAATCTCGCGTCAGTTAATCGACAAGATAAATAAACGATGCATAATAGTGCTTAGTGTTTCATAACTTTCTCTTTCTCTCTCCTTCTCTCTCTTTCTCTTTATATATACATATATATATATGACATATAGAAAAATCATTGAAGGAAAGAAAATGCAAAGATCTTTAATATTTCTAAATTTTCATTGGTAATCGCAAGAAATGATATAAAATTCATAAGAATAACATGTGACAATATTATTGAAAATTTCTTATTTGTGGTCTTATAAGAGATATAAATAGATTAGCTGCACTGGTGGCACCTTTGATAAGGGGCAAAAGTTATCGATACAAAGTGCCAATTCTTTCGCGATTTTATATGATCCCTGTGTTATGAAACGAGACAATTTCAAAGAGAATCTTCGTTATTATTATAAATAATTGAGAGAGAATAAAAACGATTCTTTTCTCTCGTCGACAATTATTACTACTACTGTTACTATTACTACTATTATTATTATTATTACTATCTTCTACGAAAGACTAACTTCATTCGTAGATTCCAAGCGGATCGTCGAACTCACTTTCCGGAACGTTTTCCTCTCGCTCTTTGTATCTCTCTCTCTCTCTCTCTCTCTCTCTCTCTCTCTCTCTCTCTCTCTCTCTCTCTCTCTCCGTCTCTCTCTTTCTCTCTTTCTCGTTACGATGGTATCTTCTACTAACTGACATGAGAGGAAGGAGAAAGACTCGCATAATTTTATTCCTTTTCGTATAACTATATTCGTTTATGCATAAGCTTTCTTCGTACTTACACGTACCGCTTCAAACGTACCACCAACCAATAGGCATATCTTCTACCCAAACAGTATTGCCACGAAGCGTCGTAAATTCTTAATTTCAATGGATATTCAATATACGGAGAAAACGCGATGTGAGTGGAACTATGCAGATTCGCAACGCAAATGTCTTGGCATAGAAGAATATTTCTTTTCTTTTTTTTGTTGTTTTTTTTTTATTTTTTTTTTTTTATTTCTTTGTTTTTTCTCTTTTCGCAAGAATATTTTTTCCCTTTTTTTTCTTTTTTTTCTTTCTTCTCGCTCTCTCTCTCTCTCTCTCTCTCTCTCTCTTTCGAAAAACAAAAACAAAAGTAAAAAACGAAAGAAAAAAAAAAAGAAAAAGCGGAGGACGTTCCTCCAACATGAACAGCGTAGAGAATAGAGTAGTGGTCGTATACAGTTTTGAATATACGAATGATGCATACATTGTGGCAATTCAATTACGAAATTAGTCGTTTCAAAGCGCATCTGTTTCCATCGCAAAGATCTTCTTCCCTTGTTCTCTTTTTTCTCTCTTTTTTTTTTTCTTCTTTCCTTTTTTTTCTCTTCTTCTTCTTTTCTTTTACTTAAACGGATCACAGTCTTATCAGGGAAAAAATGTCTAGCTATGTCAAAGGACACGACAAAATTGATGGTCGTTGAAGCTTTATCGCATTTTTATTAATTGAATGAAATTCGACCTAATTCTTGTCAAATCAAATTTTAATGCGTTCTCCTTAATTACCCTAATTTCTTTCTCTCTCTCTCTCTCTCTCCCTTTCTCTCTCTCTCTCTCTCTCTCTCTTACTCTCTCTCTCTCTCTTTTTCTCTCTATTTATCTAACTCCTGTTAATTAATCCAATTTTCATCAATGATTTATCAAGTCTGTTTATGCGAATGATTAGCTCGCTTATCATATTACGAATTATATTTTCGTAACGTCGCCTGAATGTCTGGTCGTGTGTTTGCAAAACAGAAGGAGTACAAGGAGCACTCGTATAATCACGCGCGCGCGCACGCGTGTATATGTATGTGTGTGTGTATGTGTATGTGCGTGTGTATTACGTGAAACACATTGCTGAATAACTATATTAATCGAAACACGTCGATCACGTGTTTCCTTTTTAACACATACACAGGCGGACATGCATACGCACACGTATACACGCATGGATTAAAACGAAATAATAAATATTAAGAGAGAAAATTAACTTTATGGAATTCGATGGAAATGCAAGGAACGCATATCCATCGTAAAAGTATGCGTACTTAATTTTTATAATTTCTTTTCTTCATCGTACACAGAGCATCACAGAACATTACGTACATACTACATACATCTTTGATAACATAATTCGAGGGCATTGAAAGATTTATCGTAAAATTATGAAACTTACGTATATTATCCCGTTTAGATTAATCGATTCACAATAAAGTCTAACAATGTTTATGTATATTTGAATTTAAATTTCATTCGAGATAATTTAAATCTTGATAATTTTACTTGATACACTTGATACACTTATATGCGTATATATTTTATTATTAATTCTTTCTTTCTTTCTTTCTTTCTTTCTTTCTTTCTTTTTCTCTCTCTCTTTCTCTCGCTCTCTTTTTCTTTCTTTCTCCCTTTTTCTCTTTCGTAAGATTCGCTAATCGCCAACGGAAAATTTCGTTTAGTATTTATCATCGCGAGTCGGGTCACTCACGTTTTATTTAATATCAACGAGGAATCCGTTATTTTCGCGCTAATTAAAAGAAAATAAGAAAAAAGAAAAGGATAGGAAGAAAAAGAAGAAGAAGAAGAGGGAAAAAAAATATAAGAAAGAAAGAATGGGAAGAAAAATTAATCAACATGCAGAACGACCTCGAAACATCATTCGAAATAATTCTAATAAAAGTCGTTCGATCGGAATAATCGGATCATCGAATCGATTAAAAAAAAAATAAAAAATCCTCATTAAATCCAATATATAATGATAGATACGACAGTTCAGATCATCGTAATTGTTAGAAATTATATTGATGACATCATCGTCTGATCGGGTCGACCCACGCGAACTACTCTACACACAATATCTCGCTTATCAATGGAATATACCAAAAACTCTCTTGTCTGTTATCTTAAGCAAAGAACATTATATTGACGTGCTTCAAATCACTAAGCAATCCTGGCGCTACGAATTGAAATCCCTTGAATTGTTTTTTCTTAATGATCACACAGAAAGAAAAAAAGGAAGAGAGAGAGAGAGGTAGAGTGAGAGAGAGAGAGAGAGAGAAACGAATAAATATTTACGTACAACGCGTTACAACGTGCTCTCAGTTCTCTCTCTTTCTCTTTCTCTCTCTCTCTCTCTCTCTCTCTCTCTCTCTCTCTCTCTCTCTCTCTCTCTCTCTCTCTCTCTGTCTTTCTATTTCTCTTTCTCTTTCTCCCTTTACGAAGAGAATCTGCTCTCAAGCACGCCGAGTTACGAGGAGTCTTTGAAGAAAAACGTTCTTTTCTCCTCCTCCTCTTTCTCCTCCTCCACCTCCTCTTCTTCTTCTTCCTCCTCCTTTACCATGCTTCTCCTGCTCTTCATCCTCCTCTCCTTCTTTTTCAAGCAGTCTCTTCTACTGCGGCTTAGATACTGGAACGACGGAATGCAACAAAAGCAACAAATAGGAATCTCGTGGCGCGTGCGCTCTTATCTGGTAAAAGTACACTTTTACCAGAGTCCCAGCGTGCATCGCTTCAGTCACGCGAATTGCAGCCTCGATAAATCGTATACCCTGTCTCTCCAATATATATATATATATATATATATAAAGAAAATAGCCTAAGCACGAACACACAACGTATACTTTAGAATCTAGATTATCTCTCCTATTACTCTAGAGACTTTTTTCTCTCTATCCTTTTCTATCTCTATTTTCTTTCTCTCTCTCTCTCTCTCTCTATCTCTATCTCTCTCTCTCTCTCTCTCTCTCTCTTCTTTTTTTTTGTAATCTTTCCAATTCAAAATCAACTTACTCGAAAGAGACAGAGGGAAAAAGAGAGAGAGAGAGAGAGAGAAAGAGAAAAAGAAAGGAAGAGTTAATTTTTGTTTTTTCAAAGATTACAATTTCGACAAAGATAACGTTCTGGTGGGATATTTCTTTTTTGTTTTCATTTTTTATTTTTTTTTTTTCTTTCTTCGTTCATTTTATATAAATCATTTGTATGCGAAGAATGAATTAGAAAAAAGAATAATAAAGAAAAAAAAAAAAAAAAAAGAAAAAAAAAAGGAGTAACTAATGAGCGAGACAACAACATTTATATCGTTAAATAATATCGACTAACACACAACAGGGGAATTCAGTGCTTTCAACAAACCCTTCCTTCCTTCCTCGAATCGACTGTATCGAATTTCTCGTGACGCACACGTTCCTACTTCTCTCCTTCCTTTTTTTTTCTTTTTTTTTTTTTTTTTTTTTTTTTTTTTAATCAGCATAAAGATTAGGTTTCGAAAATTTAGTTTCGCCTCGTCGTCGTAGAACGGATTATTTTACTTACTTCTTTACAGTTCACGAATGGATTTACGTAGTAACCCTATGTAGGAGCTCGAGGTGTTTTATAAAAACAGAGATACGTAAGATTGTCTAACTATCGTATTTTAAATAATGCTAAATTTTGCGGTTACCGGTTATATTGCCCGATCGAAAGAAAATAGTCATCGTTCGTTATTAACATTTTCAAGAAATAGAACGGAAGACAGAAAGAAAGGAAAAGAAGATCTAACGAGACGTAAGAAGTATTTCCTTTCTTTTTTCTTTTTTTTTCTTTTTTTTTCGTTTTTTTTTTTATTCACTTCATTTTTTTTTGTTTCGTTTTTGTTTTTGTTTTTGTTTTTTTTTTCTCTTTTTCCTTTCTTCCTGTCTTTCGATTTATCTTTCTCGGCGATAATCGTGTTTTGTAAGAATCAAAAAAGAAAAATCGTTTTATTAACAACGATGTTCATTCATTCCCTTTCTCTCTCTCTCTCTCTCTCTCTCTCTCTCTCTCTCTCTCTCTCTCTCTCTCTCTCTCTCTCTCTCTCTCTCTCTCTCTCTCTCTCTCTCTCCCTTTCTCTATTTGTCTTTCACTTGGTAGCTCGTGTATCGTAGAAAACTTGATTTTCGCGATACACCATCGTAATAAAGTGTAATAATCATCGTACGATTTACTCAGCGAGAAAAATAAGTTATTATATATCATTGTTAAATTTTCCAAGAGATTTTTGTTATTTAGGCGATGAATATATATATATATATATATATATATATATACATATTCATAAAAAAATATTATATATATATATAATATTTTTTTTGTTTCTTTTTTATCATAAATATAAAACATTAATTATCCACGTTTATCGATGCTCGTGAGAGAAACATCGTCGCATGCGTTCGAAAGATTTTGTAAAAAAAAAAAAGAAAAAAAAAAAGGAAAAAAAGAAAAAAGAAAAAAAAAAAGAAAAAAAAAGAAAGAAAGAAAAAAAGAAATCAAAACACGTGCCTTGAGATTCGCCGTATTATTATCGCATGTGTTAGCTCATGTTTGCGTGCTCGCCTCTCCCTTTTGTAAGTATCGTCCAGCACTAACAAAAAAAAAAAACTAACTTTGAACTTGCACCATTATTTTTTTATTTTTATTTAGTATTTTTTTATATTTCTTTTCCGTTTCTTTGTTTGTTTTTCTTTTTATTTTTCTTTTTATTTTTTATTTTTTATTTCTTATCGTCACATTGACTTTGCTATGTATATTAAATACTTTCTGCACCTTCATAATGCAACTGCACCCAGGTATCATGTGCACAATGTAATTATCATGTTCACAGGTGGTCGAAGTAGTTTAGAAAAAGAAATGTGCGATCGTTAAACGCAAAAAAGAAAAAAAAAAAAAGAAAGAAATAATATCGGAGAAACCGATACAAAGAGTCCCTTTCGTTAATTTATAAAATTTAATGAATTTCTTTAGAATTATATATGTTTATATACATATATATACATATATATATATACATATATATACGCATATATATGTACATATTTCTTTTTTGATTCTGCATATCGCTTTTTCTCTACAAATGAAAACGATTAATAGCCGTTTTATCCGAGCTTTGCAGCTAAAATAACACACACACACACATATATATATATTTATATATATATATACATATATATAAGGGACGTACTTACGATCTGGGGTAGAGGAGCATGCGCTATCATGTATAATATTCATGTATATGCGTTACCATTTAAGTTTCTATCATCTTTCTTTCTCTTACTTTCTTTCCTTCTCCTTCTTTCTCTCTCTCTCTCTCTCTCTCTCTCTCTCTCTCTCTCTCTCTCTTTTTTTTAACGTAAGTTTTATAAATATGTATATTATTTGTGTCTTTCAACAACAGGAAAACAGAATGGAAAGATAGCCAATTAAGAAAGCATCAGAATGTGTCTAACTTTATTGTTTTGTATATATGTAGTACGAAATTTTTTTTTCTACGAGAATGTGTGTGTATGTGAATAGCTCGTCTATCCTTTCTTTTTTCTATTTTATACAATATGTGAATAATAGACGTCATTATTATTGAATGAAAGAAGAAGAAAAAAAAAAAGAAAAAAAAAGAGAAAAGGAAAGAAAAAAAAAATCAAACGAATGAAATTGCATTGAGTCATTGTTAACTCTTGTTTTCCCTCCGTATTATTATTTATACTATATCACTTTAAATAACATCCCTTTTATATTATATTAGACACATTTTTCTTTCGTACGTAATAATATGTGTATGTGTGTGTCCCTATACGTACATAACATATGTATATCTGTATCTAACCGTACCTAACCACCATACCTCACCCCATATTATATATATATATATATATATATTATATAATACCCACCATACTCCACTACACTTGACTACACTCCCACCCCGGCCTCAATATTCCCCACCATCTGTTCTCCTTTTTTGTTCTTCTCTTCTTCTTCTCTTTCTTTTTTGTATTTTATTTATTTTTTTTTTTTTTTGTATCTTTGTACATATACATAATAGTTTTATAGAGAGAAAAAAAAAGAATGCACTTCACGCGTGTGTGGCATCCCTCACTAGTAACTCACCCACATATCATATGTCCCATGCTCCATGCTCGGTGAGTACACTTTTATAAATTCGCAAAATGAAGAAAAAAGAAAAAAAAAATTAAATAAATAAATAAATCGTTCGAAGACCGACATTGATACTTCTTCATTTTACTTGTAAAATTCATTATAACGAAATAAAAAAAGTTATTCGTCAAATGTTATGAAAATATTTTATTCTTTAGAAACTTACGATGTCGATTTCGACGTTTTATTATATTATGTATTAATATATAAGCATTCTCGCATATTGCATGTCATTGTTTCTTGTTTTTTTTTGTTTTGTTTTATTTTACTTTATTTTATTTTGTTTTATTTTATTTTTTTTTTTTTTTAATCTTTCACGCTTTTCCGCAACATGCTTGCATTAATGCATTTTATACTAACACAAAGATACTAAAGTTAAACACACTGTAACATGCATCTCAATGATGAATTTGATTTTGTTGTTACTACGATACAACACGCACTATCAAATAAAAAAGAAGAGATCTTCGTTAGGAGATAAATAATAATAAATTAAAACATACGATAAACATTAAAATTATGAAATAAAAATAAAATTTAATCGCTATGGAATTAATATTGCTAAATAAAGGAAATAACTATTACTAATGCGTACTCGTTGAACTTTAACATAAAAATAAATTTGTTATTATCGCAAACCATGAAATATAACATGAGCATAATAATAACGTACGATTCTCTAACAGCACATAAAACAAGATATATTATGCATAAATTGTTTCGATCGAAGATAATTCTAATGTAAAATGACGCGGCTTCTACGATCTCTCAGGTGTGTCAAAAGTGAAAAAAAAAAAATAAAAAGAAAAAAAAAAAAAAAAGAGAGAGAAAAAAATAAATAAATAGATAAAAAGAGATCGCATCGCGAGGTTAATATGTCTCGCTCCGAATGGAATTATAAGCGATAAATTTTCTGTTTCAGATAATAATTTATTAGCAATACCGTCAGAGTCGATAGCGGTACAACCCCCAGCTTATATCGGGCCCCCAGTACCAGGGGATAAGGAAAAATCGCACAAGTACAAGAAAGATACATCGAAGGAATCTCATGTTAATAAAGAACGTTATCAGGAAGAAATTAAAAATCATGGAAATTACGATGAACGACGTGGTTATCCTCAGAACAATTCCCAGCACTATTATCGTTACAACGACGATCAAAAGTTTTTCGAACGAAAGAGAATAACGAATTACTGTGATTACCAATTACGTAATTGTGACCGTCAATCGGTACAAATACAAAATGCTAAGAATCAAGGATTTTGCATGGCCGGAAGGGACTTCGATCAACAGCAATTCTATACTTTACCTACAAGAAGAGCTCAAAGAGAAATCGAGCCACCTCGAAGCGTTACTCCGGACATTACGAGAGGTCTTGGACGTGGTTCCCTGAGCGCGATGCACATGTTAGCCAGACAAGGACGAAGGCCCGTTGTCGAGCAGGTTCCCGAGCAGGTTCCTAAGCAGGTTCTTCTTCCCGAGCAGGTTCTTCTTCCCGAGCAAGTTCGTTTAGCGAGTAATAGGAAGTTGGAAGAACTCGAGACAAGGAAGAGACTCGTGAAACAACAGCAAACAGCGCCGATCGTTGATGTCAGAAATAGGTGAGAGGGAACGAAAATTGCCGATCGATTTCTTATTTTTATGAAATTCTCATCCCTCACCATCTCTTTCTCCTGCCTCTATTGCATATATATATATATATATATATATATATATATATATATATATACACATCTCTTTGTGTATAGATTCGCAACGCCGTTGAGTCTGTCTGCGCTTGGCTATCGATTCTTCGCCTCTTCACCCATCAGCGAACCCATCGCGATGCCACCGGCTAGTACGGATCTCCTAAAGCACGATCCAATTTCCCCCATCGGAGGTGGTTACGGTAACGGGTTCGAATCTTCCACTCCTATAGCACGATCGGTTGCTCGAACCGTTGCCGAACGTCTCGCTCTAACTACCGGGAATTCTCCGTCGCCTGTACCAAGTTCATCCGGTAGAAGTACACCCGTTCAACCATCCTCATCGTCCGGTAGAAACACACCGACAAATTTAATATTATCGCCTAGTAAAAGTACAATGTCAAACGAAGAACTTTTCGCTGCCATTCATAAATCGAAGAAAAAGTTAAATATCAAAGATGACGGAGAAAACATGTCGCCTTATGGTTCGATGAATTCTTTGATTAAATCGCCGGCCGGTAATCGACACAGCTGGAGTCCCGAATCTCAGAAACCAACTGAGGTAGGACTAATTAATGAAAGTGAACAAACCACTCTCTCTCTCTCTTCCTCTCTTTCTTTCTTTCTTTTCCTTTTCGCTCGTTTACAGGTTTCACTTTTCTTTCAGATACCCATCTCACAACCGATACATTCCCCATCGGCTACTTCGCGATTAGACTTCAAACGTTTATTACTTCAACAGAGCGTCAAGGTAGGACCAACGAGACTCTCGGCAGCAGAACAATTAAAACTTTCCCGACAACAGTGTCAACAACAACAGCAACAGCAGCAGCAACAACAACAACAACAACAACATCATCAACAACTACTACAATCACCGATCATCGTAAATTCATCGCAAACTCCATTGACCAAAGTCATGAGTCCTCGTTCGGTTTGGAGATTCCAAACGCCAAGGACTGATGTTTTATCCTCAACGATCATCGAAGATACCGCGGCTGAAGAGAAGGCCATGAAACCATCCCCTGAAAACACCTCACCTATCTCAAGATTGAACAGCAAAAGGCAATTGGATCTCGGAAATGAACCAGTTAATAATATACGAGATATGAGGAAAGAAGAAAATTTAATCGAATCATACGACGGTAGACCGTTGTCCTCTGTCGTTCTATCTAATTCGCATCTTGACAACAAAAAAGATAATAGCACCCCTAAAAGAATTACACAGATCGAGCCAAAAGTTTTACCCTCCTATAACATAGTTGAGAACGGTGCCAACACCATAAACACTAACACCATTTCAACCAGTATCGCAACCAGTATTGCAACCAACAGCAATACTGGCATTTCTCTCTTACAGTATTCGCATAATTCTCCACGGCTTACGTCTAAAGGGCAAGAAGCCGTGAACGCAATCGAATCTAGACGATTGAGCAATCAATTGGCAAGAGCTCAATTTCTATCTAGCACGCCAACGATCCCCAACGATCAAGTACAACAAAGTGCTTATTTCGGCAAACGTTTTCGAGCGAGATCCGAATCACCGAAACACGTAAATTCTCAAAACCTTGCTACCCGTAGCCCGAGTGCGCCCACCCTCGAGACAGCTCTTTGATCGAAACAAATTTTAAAATGTAAAAGGAGACACGAATTGTTTATTAATTTATGAGTCAAACGACTGCCAGCATCGATAAAGGTTTTAGATGAATTTCTCGAGCAATAATATTAGAACGTAATATATATATATATATTTATTTATATATATATATATATATATGTGTAATGCCTTATAGCGTAACGCCGATTATCTAATGCGCGGAGTCGCGCTACAATAATAATAATAATAATAATAATAATAATAATAATAATAATAATAATAATAATAATAATAATAATTTTTGTTTTCTACGGAGAGGAAAATACGACAAAAAAAAGGAAAAAAGAAAACAATGAAAGCGTATGTCGTAGATCAAAAATGCTTGCTCGCCTTTCATAAACTTTCGCGTCATCCTTTTATATATATACATATATAATTTTTTTTTTATTTTTTTTATTTTTTTATTTTTTTTTTTTTCTTCAATTATCTTTTACGCATCCCCTCGTTAATGTATTAATTTATTTTTCGCCTTTTGCGATAAAATTGCGCAACTTGTACCTCTCCTATAGGATAGTTTTAGGAGTCATTTTCGTGTAAATAAGAGAATATCCTGTAGTTATTATTAAAACAGAAAAAAGAAAAAAAAAACAAAAAACAAGAAAAAAAAAGAGAAAGAAAAAAAACAAGAAAAAGAAAAACCGCGTAGCGTAAAAAAAGAAAAAGAAAGAAAAGATACACACATACAAAAGTTACACACCTGGCTTGAAGTCGTTTGCTTGCTAGTCTAGTCGGGGTAGTTAGTTATCCTTCGTTATTTATTTATGGATATAACAAAGGAATATAAATAATAATGAAAGATATACATATAATTATCACGATAATTTTCAAGCCATACTCGTTTTTCGATTACATATGTATGCATGTATGTATGTATGTATGTATGTATGTATGTATGTGTGTGTATGTGTGTATGCATGTATGTTTCGATTTAACCGAATATAACGTCCCAAGTCTAACGAGATTGGCAAAGCTTTATTATCACGGGATATACATATATACGTGGCGAATAGTAATATATTCAAGAAAGAAAAGACTAATGTATAATAAAGATGAGACAGAGTTGCCTTAATTAACTTATTTCACAAACGATGATAAATAATGTATGTATGTATGTATGTATTACGATCGATTTTCTCGGTATAATGTATTTTCGCGAAATTCATTTTTTCTTCTTGTGTATGCGCAAAAGCAAAAACAAAAATTAAAAAAAAAAAAAGCAAAGCAAAAGAACAAAAAAATAATTACGAGAGAGCAAACGCAGCTCAGAGTATAACGCGCGATAATAGTTTCTAAGCCGAAAATTACGTTTTGTACTTTGCTCAAAATAATAAAAAAAAAAAAAAACGAACGAACGAAATAAGTTAATTATATTCATACCTTATCTTTCTACGGCTTATTCTCACCTATTCTCTTCTTAATATAACTAATACATTTCATTTCAAATTTTTCATTACAACTTTCTCTTCTCTTGGACAAATAAAACGTTTCAACGAACGAAATGAAAGTTTAACGGTTTCATGACAGTACTGACAACTGTCAAGTGGTAACTTCTTAAAAATATAATTCTCACGAATAAATAACGATTTTATATCAACGTATTTGTAATTTATTAAGTAATTAGTAAATAAAAATAAACAAGAGAAAGAACATTATTATTATGCGATAATATCGAACAACAATTCCATCGATTAAAATAAATATTCATCAAATCAAAAATATTCTATTTG